CCCCCATTTAAGACCCCTGGGGTTCCCCCAGTTGAGATCCACTACTATGGTGGACAAGAACACCTTACAATAAGGTGAATTCATGGAGCATAAGCATGAAGGACACAAAAAAAAAACTTGCTGTCATTACCTGTATGGCGTCCTCAATGAATACCACAGCTTGTTGGATGTAGATGTCCTCATTGTCTGTGGATAGTGACACAAGTGACATCTCAACAGCAGAATGAACAAAGATCTGAACATATCCCAGGAGTGCTCTGAACACTGTGGCCTTCACACACAACACAAAATGTCTCTGAGATGTTGTCTGTAGAACTGGTCGGGTTGGGAGCTGTTTGTTTTTTCTTGAGGCAAGATTGGGAGAAACAGAAGCTAGGATACAGGTCTGGCTTATTCTTAGACTGTAACTGTGGTATATCTCTACTCAAACACCAAAACTACCCACTAAGCCAGAAACTGTGGTCATTCTATAAGTCTGAATAGAATGTCATACTAATATTACCAATTACCATTTTACCAATATCAAAACCAGTTCTGTGATTTACAATACTGTGGCAAACAGCACAGAGTAAGAGAGAAGAAGCTCTCAGCTACGTCAAATTAGTTGACAGTGTTTAATGATAACATGTTAAACATTTAACATGTTAAATTATTTAATTATTATTATTATTTAAAATATTTGTTTAAGAAAGCAGCATTCTGAAAACTTTTGCCAAGTCATACCAGTTCAAAATGCACATTGAAAAGGTTTATTTTCATTCAACAGTAATAACACTAAACACGTTATTGGACAGGAACAACTGGAAAGAGAGCAAAGGGCCAGTGTGGTAAATGCATTGTACTTGTATAGCGCCTTTCTAGTCTTTCCGACCACTCAAAGCACTTTTACACTACATGCCACATTCACCCATTCAGCATCGGGAGCAATTTGTGGTTCAGTAAAATGTAATTTGTAATTTATTCATTCTTACTTTATATACATATTTGCATTAGTAGTGTTGGAGGGGACCAGAACTAAGAATTCACTGTAAATGTTGTGTGTATGACAATGAAGAAGTTGTATCCAAAAAGTTGAATAGTCACCCACTCCACCTTGTCAGACATATTGGATGCTTTTTCTTTGCCACACGTTAGCAAAGACAAGATCCTTGGGTTTTGGACTGTTATGTGGACAAAATAATTTTAAATAAAATCACCTTAGGCTTAAAAATGTTCACTATTTTAAACTGTTTATCTTTTTCTATCTATCTATTAAAAGAGTTATCTGGAAGGAAGCAGGAAGAACTTTTTCAGCATATGTACTGGGTGAGAATCTTCTTTGGAATGAATAATATATCATATTTGGGTTCAACATTCATATAACACATCCATGTTTAATAAAACCTCATTATTCTATTTGAGCTGGGCCTGTAACAGTGGTCCTGAACTGGATTATGTGAATGAGAATTAAATTCTAAAGTTTGTACAAAACTGTATGTGCTTGCAAATGACTGGTTGAATGTATCAAAACAGAATAAATAGAGTAGTTGGGCTGCACAATTAATCAAAATATTATTGAATCGCAATATGGCCAAGTGCAATATGAAAATGTAAGAAGTTATTTGATAAAGGTAGAATGTGTGTCAAACAGCATTATAATGAAGCACTGTAGTGCTGCAGAGATGTCCTGGCCCACAAAATTTTGTTTAAAAATTACATTTTGGATAAAAAATAATAATAATTCCCAAAATAATCGTGAATCATTTGGCAATATCTGTCAAAAAAGTTTTACCACATTGTGTAGCCCTACAGAGTAGCACTTAATAGATGAGAACAAAGTAGAGCAGAACCTAACTATTACTAAGAACAAGCAGATTATGCTTAGTGACTAACCTTTCCAGCCAGCAGTTACATAGACATATGATGACTCAGTTCTGGCCACACACGCACATTCACACACACATTTGGTCACAGCAGGATGTGTCATAAAGGCAGGGGCGGTGGTGCCTCTGACAGGACAACACTTAAAACGGGTGCTGAAACACACACCAACACACACCTCAGAGGACAGACAAGTGTGAGCTGCATTTCTCACAGGGGTAAAAAATCTCCCCACAGAGCAACTGTCAGAGAACTCTTGTATTCTTAGAGCAACAGCAACATTGACACTAATTAGCAACACTGACACTAATTATCCATAAAACAACATTAATATTATCTTGCATTTGAATGTGAACTTAAGTGGCCTTTTTTAACTTTAAAGTTAAGAATGAGTTACATTTCTATGTTCATCTGTTAAAATAACAGCGTCATTCATCAGTCTGTAACCTTAATGGCTTTATTCAGACACAATGCTTGGCACCTGACTAAAAACTGTTGAAGAGGTATGATATGAAGGAGTGTCTCAGTTCTCTCACAGGCTGCAACACTGGTAGAATTATTTTGCAGTTATAAGAGTTATAAGAGAACTCTTCTGCCTGCAGAAGCAGTGAGTGACAGGAAGTTCTCATTCATCCTTATTTGCTCACATGCTATATGTCAAATGTTTAGCTGGCTATTCAAAACTCACAAAAACACAGGGTGGGGTTTTATTGTTGAGATTATCTCAAAGTGATTATCACAATGCAATACCTCTCTATATTAATGTGATGTTGTGTTGCGGCAGGCTTTACGTTAATCTGATATTGAACTCAGATTTGTCAGAAATGTAACTAGACTCATGACTTTTAAGTAAAAGTGACTTCAGCATGCATTCAGACAGAATAAGGTGCATGTCTAAAAGGGACTTAAAGGTCCAGTGTTTAACATTTAGGAGGAACTATTGGCAGAGTCCACCATGTTGAACCACCATGTTTCTACCGTAGCCCAGAACAGACAGACCAAACACTTGCTGTAGATACAGGCATTTGCGCTTTTCACACATTTTGCGGCAACTGTAGTTTCTCCCTCGTGCATGGAAGGGGAGGGTAAAGCGAGGGAGTTGTGATCTGCAACTACACCCTGCCACTAAATCCTACACACTGGACCTTTAAAAGGCAGTTCAACATGGCCGCCTCAGTAGAAGGTGACCCGCTCCCTCTCCCATCTCCCTGTAGATAAAAACAGCTCATTCTAAGGTAACAAAAACACAACTGATGATAAACTAATGAAAACATAGCTATGAATATTATATTCCATTTCAGACAATACATCATCCAAAATGTTACACACTGGACCTTTTATTCATACGTCATACTGAATTAATTAAAAACAAATCTGTTATGGTAATCAGTTACACCCCTCAGGGTGCCTGGATAGCTCGCCTGATAGAGCTGACGCCCCATGTACCAAGGCTGAGTCCTTGCTACAGCGGCCCGTTGTTCAAATCCGACCTGTGGCCCTTTGTCATCCCCTCTCTCTCTCCTTTCCTTTCACTATTGACTAAAGGCACTAAAAGCCCCAAAAACATATATATACTACAGCCATAGCAGTTTTTAAAAGAAAGTTCCTAGAAATGACACATGAATAATGTTCCTGTAATTGTAAACTCCTCATTACATAACTATTATTGTTACTTATTAACAGAACAAACATGCAGGAATAAACATATACAACATATACAGTAATAGCTGAATCGATGATAACAGCAGCCTGTCCTCAGATTGAGGTTACCAGCTGTGTTATAGCACTAAACAAGTACCCTCGACCAGATCTGGAGTTGTCCCTAGGCATGGCATGGTGGCTGCCCACTACTCCTAGGATGGGTCAAATGTAGAGAATGAATTACCTTACCGGGAATTTAAAAAACCCCGGACACTCGGGTGAATTGGTGTCTAGATAAAAGGGTGCAACATATAAACAACAGAGCCTTGTAGTTGTTGATGGTTGTGTGTTTTCATTTTTCATCACTTTACTTTGGCAGTTTCCATCTGCTAAACACATCACAGATCTATCTCTATACTGGACACACACAGGACACTGATTTTTTCTTTTGACCCAGTGTCAGAGAGGGAAACAAGGATTTCCCAATATGTTGCACTGTTCCTTCCATAATAATAAACCAATGAAATTCTGATCAATTATTCTAATTAAACTAGGTTTGTTGAAATGTGAAACCTCCTTTTTGTTGACACACCAAACACTCAACACTCTTTGCTCTCATAATAAAGGATGTGATTGTACTATCAGATTACGGACCCATCCCTATGAAAGCCATCTGTGGACACTTAAAACCTGGTATTACATTAGAATTCCACAAGTAAACCTTAGTGGGTCTATAAATAAAATTCAGTTTGTTTTAAACTGAAGCATGAAGAAGAATGACAATGAAACCTTTCATCCACAATACCCCGAGTCACAGGGCACATCACTTTAATTATATTAGCTTTAAACAGCCTGACTTCAGTTGCAGAACAGTTTACTATCCTGTCTTGAGTGGAATGAAACTGATCAAAGCTGTAGGGAATCAATGTACCTTAATTCAAACAATGCATATATTTCTGTTTTTCTCATAGAATAATTGTGCTTTTCTCCCCCCTGTTCTAGACAAATGAAAGTCTGCACGGTCTTTAGCTGGAGAAAGGTACAATCAGTTTGGACACCTGATAAGTCATGCATCATATCCAGTATGTAGCTGTGAAAGTTGTGAGCATTCCTATCATTATAGCCATAGTGAATAAGGGCTCTATACACCTGTATACTACGACTGAAACGGTTATCTGATTGACAGGGAATGGGAACAATGTTGATTAATTGCATAAATGTCAAACAACCAGATGTGGTTCCAGATTCCCGAGTGTGAGGATCTGCAGTCATTATTACTTTGAACTGAACATGTGTGGGGCTGATGTCAGAATGGGGAAGAAATGTGTGACTTTTAAGTGTGGAATGTTTGTTGGTGGTTTGAGTATTTCAAAAACTGCTGATCTCCTGATTTTCTCTTGACACTCTCTACAGTTTACAGAAAACGCTAAAAAGAAAAAAAAAGCATCCAGTGAGTGGCAGTTTTGTGGGCAAAAGCTGCCATGCAAGCGAGGTGCAGTCGGCTCGTTTTTTTCAAAACTGGATGTCCCTTTGTAAAACAATGTGCGCCTTGCTCTTGACCTTTCAGCCAGCTGCGCAATACATAGTTGGAGTTTCGCCCACATCCTTTAACACCACCCAACTAAACTCCTGTTTTCAGGATAGTTGAAACTCTCATTTGCACTTCAGCTCATAAACTTCAAACAAAAAGTCTTTACCTGCTGCAATTTT